GTATCTTGTAGGATGCGGTAGCTGAAGTTCAAGAGGGTCACTTTTAATGATTCAACAATTTCCCCCTAAGTGACCTCTTTAACTTTTCTTTAGCTATCAAGTTTAAGAAACTTGATCAGGATCCACCAAAACTTCCTGATGTTTTCCAACCAAATGATCCTCCTTAAAATCTCGAACTTTACTTCGACGGTTGTGTGCTTTGATCTTTCAACTGCGGTTCGACAGATTTCAAGTTGCTTCCTGGTGAGGCGATGCATGGCAGTCATAGGAATGAAGTATTTGACTCTATCGATCTTCCTTGTGAAAATGACTCCGAGTTCAGGGAAGTTGGTTGCATTTAAGGATCTTTCTTGATAGCCTTTGGTAGGCATTGGTGCAGGATCGAGTGGTGGCAGATCGAACTTTTTGGCAATTGTGGGGTAGATATCTGCGTCGATTTTAGCAAAATCACAGACAGTTTCCTTCAAAAACGTGCTAGCCCTTTCAAGCGCTATCTTCATCTTCGGTTCTTTCGGTCACTTGTTCTGGAACACCTTAGCTATGAGAAAGACTTCTTCAGGATTCATGCAGGGGAAGTCAGCTTGGGTGCGGCATAGTCGTGTTCCCTTCTAGTGAGAGTGTATTTGGATGAAGTCAGCCTTCATGAACTTCCGAAGCTTGTAGTTTTTGACTGCGGATGGTCTATCGTTAGACCATATTTTCTCAATGGGAGAGGCATGCTTTGCATAAAAATGGTTAAGTCTCTCGAATTCCATTGGCAGTCTTTTGTGATCTGGAAGGCTGCGGTCAAACTGCTCAAACACTGTGAAGTATTTAACGTTTGCGGAGATTGGAACATCCCAGTAGCCATCCGAAGGGGGTTCAACATATGTGAGATATGGTTTGTAGTCGTCATCCAGCAGTATACGGTGGGGGTTGATCCAAGAGTTTATCAAGGATTCATCCATGATAGTGTCAAAACCGCATTCTCTCCATATGAGCTCAGCAAGTTTAGCTGCTTTCCAATCTTTTTTCTTTTGGGTGGTGGCAGGGGAGTCATTTGAGCTTAGAGAGGACATGTGATCCACCAGATTTTTGAAGTGAGGGGGAGTCTCTGGTTTCTCAGGAGTCATCTCTTTTTATGGTGGAGTCTGATGAGATGGTGGAGGTGAAGGTTGCGGTGTAGGAATTCTTTCTGTAATGATGGAGGGACTTTGATGTTGTGAGATGTTGTTGGAGTGATTGGAGTGATGGACTTCTTCTTCACTTCCCCCTCTTGAGGAATGCAACCCAGGAGCTTCCTCAAGCCATTGTTTTAGGCCATCAACTTTGGCATAAACTTCTTGAAATTGGGCTTTAAGGGCATCCGCCAGTTGTTGATTGTTGGGGATGGTGGGGTTGAAGAGCAGCCGGTGAATCTCCTTGGTGAGCTGAAGAATTTCAGGACCGTGGAAGTTGGTTGA